TTTGGTTCCAGTGACCCTCCATTAATACCTCTCTATCCCTTCCGGTGGACCATTAAACCTCCTGAAATGTGTTAGCCCAGTCCTTAAAGAGTTCGAATGTCACGCCGAAGGACCGGGTTCGGTTCCCCAGTTGTGTACATGTGTTAAGCCCATTCCTGGTGCCCCTCTCTGTGACATTGCTGGAATATTGCTAAAAGTGGCGTAAAACCTCACTCACCCACTCTGGCGCCCCTCTCAGTGAAAATGCTGGAATATAGTTAAAGCAGCATAAAACCTAACTCACTCACTCACTCGTGAAGTAACAGGGTCTGTATCTTGTAGGGATGGAGACAAGGGCAACATCCTTGACAACCTGCTGTCCCGGATGGAGCAGTACGCCAACAACCTGGAGGCCCTGGTGGAGGAGAGGACAGCCGACTACCTCGAGCAGAAGAAGAAGGCAGAGGACCTGCTGTACATGATGCTGCCCAAGTAGGTGGAGCAGGACACCGGGTGGTCGTAGTGCCGACCCCTTAGATAGTGATCGACCCGTGAAGGTCCGGGTTAGAATATTGGCCTTCAGTAACCTATGCTTGTCGCAAGAGGCGACTTCCGGGATCGGGTGGTCAGGCTCGCTGACTTGGTTGACACATGTCATCGGTTCCCAATTGCACAGATCGATGCTCATGTTGCTGATCAGTGGATTGTCTGGTCCAGACTCGATTATTTACAGACCGCCGCCATATAGCTGAAATATTGCTGATTGCAGCGTAAAACTCACTCACTCACTCAGATAGTGATCATGTGTTGTTTTATAGTGTCATCTTTGCCAAGTCGTTTGAAGCGCTACCTTGAAAATGTATATCTGTAAACTCACACATATTTGTCAAAAGGATACCATTGTAAATGAAGATATTGATACCCCTCAACGAAAACTGTTAAAGGGGATGGTGGGGTTTTGAGCAATCAAGGTTCTGGCTTATTAAGGAGTCAGTACAATTCCCATTGCAATGCGGAAATTGGACGACGAAGGAAAGAAAACATAGTGTAATGAAAACAAACCCATAAAAAAAGGGAAACAAATAATCCGACAAAATTCGAAAACAACATCGACAACATCAACAACAACAACAGAAAGAAAAAGAAAAGGAAAAAATAATACATGAACACAAACAAAATTAAAAGCAGAAGACAAATAATCCATTGATGGTCACCCCTCTGAATGAAATGCCACAACATTCAAATCAACAGGGCGTTGATATCGCGGGCGTCATTAAAATTTTCCGTGCCTCTTTCATGTTCCCGAAATGCAGAACTCAAGTGTGTTGTACGAATGCTTGGCTTGCTTGAGCCAGGAATGACAACCGCGATTGAAGTTCACCTGACCCCATTACCTGAACGTTTTTCTTTCACCCTGAGAGCTATCGTATCGGAAAGAAGTATCCGGTTTTAATTACGTTGTAATCTGACGTAGCACGAGTGCTTATCGATGACGTCCAAATACAGATGTAATACAAGCGTTTCGCCGTTGTATTATTTCATCGATTCGATTAAAGTTCTGTCGATTCGTGTTTTATTAGAAGTTTTAAAGTCTGTGCTCAGATAGCTATCGTGCCGGAGTTAAGTGTCTAATATTTATTACGTTGTAATATGACGTGGCCCGACTTTTCATCAAATAAACCAAAGTAACGGTGTAATACTGCCGGCCTTCCGTTGAATCAGTAAATCCACTCGTTTAAAGCTCTCTTGCTTTTATTTTGATTGTTTTATGTCGCTATCGGAGTAGAGTCTCGGAGTTTTAATATATTGCAATGTGACGTGACACGGATTTTCCTCAATGACGTCAAAACACAGGTGCCAAGCTGACGTTACGACGTTGAATTACAGCTCCAATTCAAACAAATACCCATCTAAATACTGCTTACTGTAAGACTCAAACTTGGATAAGGATGTGTGTAGTTTTTGATTGTCCAACGCCCATTTCGTTTTAACTAATCACAGAAGTTCACAAATCCATATTTTCTACCTTGGTAGCACTAGCAGTCTCTGTGTACATCACTCTCGATTTTTCTCTCCCCAGTTCTAAAACCGCAGAGTTGTTGACTGTCACGTACAATGAGAGATAATACCTCTGTTATATCTGAAAAGTTCAAGAAATCTGTAATCTCCTCAAAATGCCTCCGTCCTGCCCGCAGGCAAGCAAGTATAACCGCAGTTCCAAATTTGGAGTTACCTCCCTTCTCCAAGCAAATGTAAAGTTAACGTTGGATCGCAATCCGAAACAGTCAAAACCTTTCAATGACGATCTGACATATCTCATTATCTCTGACAAATGTTGAGTGGTAGAACTAAGTGTTTAGGGAATCATGTGTTTTTAACCTGTCAATTCCAAGATGAAACAATACCTTCACCAGAAACCTGTAGGAACGTTCAGTGTGTAAAGAACCACAATCAAATACATTTTACACACTCAGCCACTATGTTTTGAAGAAGGCCCTGGAATTCATTTAGAAGTTGGACGAACATGAATACATGGCACGACGTTTTCGAGCTCTCCTCATAATGAAGGAGCAATAATTAGCCCTGAGACCCCGTATAGAGGATAAAAAGAAGTTGTTATCCATAAAAAACGTATGGTGTATTTATGTTCTGAAGGTAGCGATATGTAGAAGTCCATACAAATAAATGCTAATTAATTAATTAATAAATGTGGTGGTACACAATATTCAAACTTCAATGGCGCCGGAATTGCAAATTATAATAACGAGAGTAATATATATGACGTCAGTGATAATAATATCCACCAAACACCAAGAGTGGTCAATCATTCGAAACAAGCCAAGGCTGGACATCCTGAATAACTAGCAACGATCTGAAAGATATGTTTTACTTACCTGGTATATTCCGTAATGCTCGTCAAACCTCCGGATTTACCTTGATTCCTGGTCTCCTATATTGTAACCCGCCTACCACTGTCCCGGGCCACGTTTCACAAAGCTCTCGTAAGCTTAATATCTCGTAGATTTTCTCGTAGCCTTCGTACCTCCTATACTGTAACATAATTTACGAGATCTTAGGCTTACGAGAGCTTTGTGAAACGGAGCTCTGAAGTGAAACCATGTAGCAACAATGTCTTGAAACAACATACAGAGGTTATTATTGGATATTCATTGGATATTTATATAGCGCACATATATATCCACGAACTAGTGCATGTTCAAGGCGCTGGTATTTTTCACCTCGATCATTGGATGTCAATCTCAACGGCACATCTCAACTCCCTGGGGACCATACAACTCTTGCTGCCACAAAGCGCACCGAGTTATTGCGGGTTTCCCATCCTTACGGGTACCCATTCACAGCTAGGTGTAGTGTAACGAGATTTTGCATTCATTTCTTCTGCACAGTAAATGAAGAAATCCATATCCTTCGTGAACCCCAGAACTAAAATATTGTATGAAATGATTATTGATTTTCGTATTTAACCAGTTATTACTTGGGGGCTATGGTCATTTTACGTACGCTTCACACACTGATTGTGGTTCATCTCGTTACAGGTCAGTCGCGGGTCAGCTGATCAGGGGCGAGGTGGTCAAGGCGGAAAATTACGATGAAGTGACCATCTACTTCAGCGACATCTGTGGCTTCACGGCGTTGTCGTCGGAGAGCACGCCCATGCAGGTAACACCTACAGCTATAGTCTGTAAATCGAATAAAGTGGAATTAGGATTGCGAATCCTCATTATTTTACCTTGCGAAATGAACATTAAAATCTCAGAATTTTATTCAACTTAGGATAAAAGTTGTTTAACAAACGATCATAGTTTCATTATTATTGGTTTGTATTACAAGGGGGTATGCATATTAAATGTCAAGGTAAAATTATGGCGATTCGTAATATTAATTTCACTTTATTTGATTTACTTTTTTGTTTAAAGTGAAATTCATCCGTAAGTTTTCACTGCAAACAGACTATACCTCTATAACTGTTCACTGTTGTTTGTTTGTTTTTTTACGCCGCACTCAGCAATATTCCAGCTATGTGGCGTTGGTCGGTCTGTACATAATCGAGTCTGGACCAGACAATCCAGTGATCAACATCCTGATCACGTACGCAACTGGGATACGATGACATGTGTCAACCAAGACAGATACCCTGACCACCCGATCTCGTTAGTAGGGTAGTTCAGAGGCTAAAGTGTTTACTTGTCACGCCGAGGACACGGTTTCCATTCCCGGTTAAAATCAGTGAAACCTTTTGTATGTCTCAAGGTTAATGTAAAACGTGGCGTAAAACCTTTCTCATTCTTTTACTGGTGCAGAAGTTATCGATCTTTGATTGGTTTTAGGTGATAGATTTGCTGAATGACCTCTATACAACGTTTGACTCGATCATCGAACATTTCGATGTTTATAAGGTAAGTATCCCTTCATTGAATTGTCACGTCGGTGTAAATGTAGAGAAACATTAGCACCTGTCACATGTTTCATACCATAAGACATTGTCAGCGTCGATGTCAATCTTCTGTACTGATAAATTGTTAAAATGATTGTTGTATGAACTGTCAGATGACCTGCTTCGATGAAGTGCACGCTGATTGGTCGTTAGATGTGAATGTCCATATTTATTCCAAAGAACCCTGCAAAATAACAGCATTTTGTTAGTAACACGTACTGTACATCAATTGTTCCAAAAATATATCAGACATCGAATGATTTTGACTATTACTCAGCAAGTTTAAAGCTATAAGAAATCGATCTGAAGGAAACTTAAGTCTGCTCTCCAGGTGTGTATTGTATGGTGTCCTATAATTGCCATCGCGTGGCGCGTAAAAAAAGAACTACGTCGTGGGCGACGTCGCCCACGACGTCGCATAAAAAAGACGACGTCGCGCACGACGTCGTGTAAGACGTCGTCCACGACGTCGCGCAGAAATACACAAGAGAGATCTACGACAAAAATACAAAATCGACGTCGTCCACGACGTCGAAGGCGATTAGCGTCGCCACGACGTCGCGGGCGACGTCGTATTTAGAAATTGTTATATTGGAAAATCGGGGAATAACCTTTTGTGGTGCAGTTATACTGCTATTGATCTCGCGTGGCGCGTAAAAAGAACTACGTCGTGGGCGACGTCGCCCACGACGTCGCATAAAAAAGACGACGTCGCGCACGACGTCGTGTAAGACGTCGTCCACGACGTCGCGCAGAAATACACAAGAGAGATCTACGACAAAAATACAAAATCGACGTCGTCCACGACGTCGAAGGCGACGTCGCCCACGACGTCGAGGTCGACGTCGCCCACGACGTCGCGGGCGACGTCGTATTTAGAAATTGTTATATTGGAAAATCGGGGAATAACCTTTTGTGGTGCAGTTATACTGCTATTGATCTCTAATCACTGATTTCATGTTCAACATTACTACTTATTTAAGTAAACCAATCAAGGGGTAAGCGCCAGAACACCTTAAGTAAAAAATTCTGTCAAATTTAGTTGATGCTTGATGTTGTGAAAACGGTGTTGTTTTAAAGGATCAAAACACTGGTTTTCTACAAAATGTAAAATGTCTCCACTCAGGAAACGAAATATGACTTTTGTACCAGCGGGTTGACATGTGAACCAGCGGGTTTAGTGAGTGAGTTTAGTTCACTCAGTTCATTAGTAGTGAGTTATTCAATTTCTTACATAAACGTGCAAGCTATAAGAATGTTGGAATTGACAGTTTTCATCATCATTTCCACAAATTCAGTTATGGAAAATGCACAATAGGTTTCTTTATACTTCTCGTGGTGGAACATACATATATGTAAATGGTTATATGTTTATTGTGAACAAGAAGAAAAGGGGAAAATGGATCTCGTGGAGATGCATTCAGAACGACTGCATATCAGTCTTAACAGTGAACGACATAATTTCCCAAGTACATCGTGACCACAACCACGGACCTGTACACAGCGAAGTCAAAGTGAATCATTTCGACTGTACCAAAAATACTGACGGCCCCCCGCACAAACAACAACCTCCGGGGTTGCAATTGGCATGGCCGTCTCATGAAGGTTGTGGTAAAACAACATCCCACCCTATTCGAGATGGCCAAGTTCCTGGAAGATGAACAAGGACTGAACGAGGCAAAGATGCTTCAGTACAATGCCGGCCAAAGACTGACCCCAAATAGAAGTACAGAGATTTGGAGGAACGACTAGATACCTTGAAGTTCAGGCTTGCAAATAACCACCCGACATTGATGGAGTACCTGGACAATGACAGATAGACACACAGACAGTCACACAGGCTTTATTCAGTAGTTAAGGCCCAGTGGCCCAGAGTACAATTGAAGTTACTCAATTACAACTATTGGTCACGTGACATTAAATTATGATTTTACATGTGATTTACGGATGGACATCAAATGTTTCATGAAAATGGCAACAGATTTAATAATATCAGCATTATTAGAATTAAGTACATTGAATATCGTTTGTGGGGCATCATTAGTGCATTTTAAATACTTCTTTCGGCAGGCAGAGAAAGTCTTACAGACTAATTATAAGTGTCGTTCGTCTTCAGTTTTACCAGAAGAACAATAAGAACATGATAAATCTTCCAATATATTATTATCTTTTCTAAAACGTTGTATTTTTAAGGCATGAAGAGAGATTTTAAATTTACAAAAAATTCTTAAAAGGGACTTATCATTAAGAACACTGACATATTTTGCAGGTCCGAACATCGATTTACATTGTGAATAATGACTAAGAAAACTCGATGAATTGACTGATGCGTACCAACTGTGAATATATATCTTTTATTCGTTGTTTAAATGTTGACAAAACATTTTTATATCACCAACATTTTGCTTAAATCAAACATGAGAAAACTCGCTTGAAAATAACATATTTCTCACATCTGAAGCCCATGAATACTTTCCACATTTATCCAGTGATAACAATATTTGACAGCTTTGATAGGGGTAGCGATAATCAGGCATTCTTATAAGTTTAATCCAGTATCTAATAACTCTCATTTGACTCTCAATATGCATGTTATAGCATCCTGTTTCGCCAAGTATGGCTTTATTGGAAGCAAATATACCTTCTGTAAGAAATCTTTTAAAATAAGATGCATGGACATTTTCAATGGCTTCGAAATAATTTGCTCCCCATGTTATATGGGAAATTATGACATGATTATATATGTTAAAAGAAATATACTAAATCACAACCTTTTGTAATATGTTATAAAGGATCAAAGAAAGTATACATTTACACAAACACACATTCTTATGTGTTTTCATTGTATTCTAAACCGTAAACAACACCAGCCCAAATCCGATAGCCAGCGTATGCATATGCTTAAATTTGCTAGTACACATGAAAGGCAAAATGGTATTATATCTACTAGTACCTAAATACTTCTTTATAGAGTCTCAAAGCGTAGTATTTTAAGCAAACACGTTGCTCGAAGTGCAGCCTTCATTTCTATATATTCTGAACAAACACACTGTGTCACAAGCGTTCGGTCCGGCTTGGCTCGAGTCGTCTAAAGCACCTAACACCTCAAAGGTGTATCTTTAATTGTGCTTAAATCCATAGATTAGTATTATATCTACCTACATATCACATTGAAATGTTACAAAATGCCACATGTAAAGGTAACTGCTCCGTTAAAGTGAAGCCCTTGTCTGCCAACCATCAAAATAGCCTCAATCAAAAGTGTTCAGTCTGTTCGGCCCGACTTGGCCCGGGCTGTCAAAAGCAACTTAAACCTCACACATGTATCTTGAAATGTGTTTAAATCCATAGATTAGTATTATATCTACCTAAATGCCACATTGTGATGTTACAAAGAAAACTGGGTCTATAAAGTGGTATTTAGATAGATATAACTATATTCATTGGATGTAAACAGAATCTAGGATTCATCTGTGAGACTTCAAGATACATGTGCGAGGTTTAAGTTGCTTTTGACAGCTCCGGCCAAGTGGGGCCAACAGAAACTTAACACTTTGATTGAACTATGTTGAAAAATAGAGAGTGAGTGAGTGAGTGAGTTTAGTTTTACGCCGCACTCAGCAATATTCCAGCTATATGGCGGCTGTCTGTAAATAATCGAGTATGAACCAGACAATCCAGTGATCAACAGCATGAACATCGATCTGCGCATTTCGGAACCGATGACATATGTCAACCAAGTCAGCGAGTCTGACCACCCGCTCCCGTTACGACAAGCATGGGTTACTGAAGGCACTTTCTAATCCGGACCTTTACGGGTGAAAATGGAGAGAGAAAGGGGCTGGAAAAGTGATATATAGGTAGATGTAATACTAATCTGTGAATTAAAACGCAATTCAAGATACATGTGTGAGGTTTAAGCTGCTTTTGACGGCCCGAGGTATGCCGGACCGAACAATAGTGGCGGTGATTATGTTTAGAGTGTGGGGAAGAGATCGTTTCATTTGCAGATGGGTATGCCTTACATACAATGAACAGTGGCCTTCTAGGGTGGTATTTGATTGGATATAGGTGTAAAAACATTTTCGGGTCGACAGAAATGTTTATCGGGAGTGACTGAAGCATTTTTTGCGTTTTAAATCCTGTTTCGTTTAACGATTCTTCTTTTAGACGTAACCTTGGTCAGCCACGTTCAGAGGCCGATAACCACTCGATATAGTCCGACGTCGCCTGCGACGTCGACCACGACGTCGTTCACGACGTCGCCCACGACGTCGTTCACGACGTCGCCCACGACGTCGCCCGTTATTTTTGTAGCCAAAATATATTTTACAAAGCGCGACGTCGTCTTTTTTATGCGACGTCGTGGGCGACGTCGCCCACGACGTACTTCTTTTTTTACGCGCCACGCGATGGCAATTATAGGACACCATAGTATTGGATATGGTATTCTTATCTTCTTATTTGACGTGTTAACTTGTACTTGGACAGGTTGAGACGATAGGCGACGCCTACATGGTGGTGTCAGGATTACCTGGACGAAACGGGAAACTGCACGCGCGGGAAATAGCCCGGATGTCGCTGTCTTTACTTAACGCTGTCCTGTCTTTCAAAATCCGCCATCGGCCGCAACAGCAGCTGAAACTACGGATTGGCATCCATTCAGGTAAACGAAATATGATTCACTTTGACTTGCTGACCTCATTGTGTTTTCTTAAATGAATAAGGTTTTGGGTAGGGTTACGGCTTGGTATTAAATGTTCATGTGTCCCCCCCTTACCGCCCTTTGCTGGGTCCGCCTTCTCACAGTGCGACTCAGATTGAAGGAAAAATCATACAGACAAATTGACAGGCCTGAAATCTTCAAAAGATATAAGCTAGTTCTCCTTCTACCCCTTTCAGAGTACCTCTGCAATAATTGTGTTGCCATGTTTAATCGATTAGATAAAAGAAGCGAAAGTGAGTTATGACAGAAGCCTTGTGATTGGTACGCTCAACTTCCCAGCGTAGACACCTGATTGGATAAAAAGCCAGCAAAGGGATTTAATAAAATTATCGGTCCGAGCCGTATATGCATCCAGGTGGAGACTTATAGGAACGTATACCTTGTGATGTTTATTTTGTATATGTACAGTGTGTGTGCGTGAGCATGTGCGCGTGCGTGCGCGTCTCTGGGTGTGATGTTATTTTGCTCTATACTGTGTGTTTGTGTCTGTCTGTCTGGCGTGTTTCTCTCTTTGACGTTGTGTTTCTATCGACATGGTGTGTGTAGACTGTTTAACTTTCTCTTTAGAAATATATAGTGTGTATTTTCTCTCTACAGGGTCTGTGTGCGCCGGTGTTGTTGGGCACAAGATGCCGAGGTACTGCTTGTTTGGCGACACCGTAAACACAGCGTCGAGGATGGAGTCGAATGGCCTGCGTATGTATCTGGCAGTCTTGTCGTCAGTCTGTAGGCAGCATGCTGTCAACTTGTAGTCAGCGTATAGCCATCTGGTTGTCAGCTTGTAATCAACGTATAGCCAACTTGTTGTCAATGTGTAGTTAATATATAGCCAACTTGTTGTCAGCTTGTTGTCAACTTGCTGTCAAGTTGTAGGCAACGTGTAGGCAACTTGTAGTCAACTTGTTATAAGCTTGTTGTCTTATTGTCAACTTGTAGTCAACTTGCTGTGAACTTGTAGGCAACTTGTAGTCAACTTGTAGGCACCTTGTAGGCAGCTTGTAGTCAACTTGTAGTCAACTTGCAGTCAACTTGTAGGAAACTTGTAGTCAACTTGTAGGCAATTTGTAGTCAACTTGTTATCAGCTTGTAGTCTTATTGTCAACTTGTAGTGAACTTGTAGGCAACTTGTAGTCAACTTGCTGACAACTTGTAGGCAACTTGTAGTCAACTTGTACTCAACTTGTAGCCAACTTGCAGTCAACGTAAAGTCAACTTGTAAGTCAACTTGCGGTCAACGTAAAGTCAACTTGTAATCCAAGAAAACAAGGGTTAGTGGACTGGTAGTCAGTATCATGTGATTGGGGAGGTATCCAGGAGACAGGCCGGGGTGGTATCACAGCTGACTCTCTCTGTAAGCCCGGGCAGGTGAAACCCACCAAAAATACAGGAACGTCTCTAGGAAAGTGAAATATCGTTAAACTCCACTTCATCTCCAACCGTATTTCACTTCTTATCTGCATGTTGCGTTATTTGTAGCCCTACGGATCCACGTCAGTCCTCAGACGAAAGAAGTGCTTGATCGGTTCCAGACATTTGACCTTGAACTTCGTGGTGCTGTTGAAATGAAGGTTGGTATATTGGATGACAATTTCAAATTCAGTAGTGGCGTCATTTCGTTTAGACTATAGCAAGGAAAACGGGCGCAATTTTCGAAAGAATTACAATGCACAGGTTGTTCCAGATATATATCAGTGAGTGAGTGAGTTAACTTTTAACGTCACCTCGGCATATATATCAGTGTCTAAGATGGGTTGGTTTGTTGTTTTACGCCGCACTCAGCAATATTCTAGCTATATGGCGGCGGTCTGTAAATAATCGGGTCAGGGCCAGACAATCCAGTGATCAACATCATGAGCATCGATCTGCGCAATTGGGAACCGATGACATGTGTCAACCAAGTCAGCGAGCCTGACCATCCGATCCCGTTAGACGCCTCTTACGACATCTTATCTTGTACTTAGATGTAAGTATCTTACATATCGTAGGTAGATGTAAATATGAACTACATAAACATAAACATTTTCTACTTAAATGCAATTATCTTCTTCGTAAATGTAAGTATCTTCTGCATAGATGTATCTTGTACTTAGATGTAAGTATCTTCTACGTTGATGTATCTTCTATGTATCATCTGAGTATGTGTAAGTATCATTTACGTAGACGTATGTATGATGGTCTCCGTAGATGTAACTAACGTCATCGTTGTTTGTTCCTAGGGCAAGGGGAGCGTGACAACGTACTGGTTGCTTGGGGAGCGGGAAGTGACCATAACCTGAGTACCTTATGACACAGCTGTGACGTCATCCTCTTTGCATATTCTGTCACATGGTCTACCGACATCGAGGCGCGTGCGCCTGAAGTGGATGATTCCATTTGTGATTTGCTGAAGACTATGGGGTGCTGATGCGGCAATGAATATTTCCATGCCATGAAGAGCGTATATTTGTATTTTATTTATGTCATCGTTGTAAAGCCAATTCTCTTTGATATGCACTGCATGTATGGCGATCAAGTGATTTACGTAGCAAAGCTTCACTGGATATATTCAGCCTTGCGTGAAGGTTCGCCTTTGTAGGACGCTGCTCGGGCAAAGTCGCATCTTTCCGCCACGTTCATGGTTCAACATTCGTAACCACTTGGCTCATTCCGTAACCCTCCGGAATGACACGAGTGGCAACAAATCATGGTTGTGGAATGAAGTGTTAGACTGAATTGTAATGAAGCGTGTGGAGCTTATGGACAGCTTGCAACTGCAGAATAACACAAGCGTGACACCAGAAGCAAGAGTATTTAACTGTTTTGTCGAGTGATGGTATTCCAGGATTTCCAAAGTCCATCAGTTACAAATTTATTCATTCACCAAATTCTACTCAAGTGTATGTTAATGGTTCTGTATAAATATCGCCCGGATACATGTGCACTCGATTTTCGTTCTCAGCTCCCTGGGAGTACACAACTCAAGCTCTCCGTGAGGCTACAGGGGGTCACCAGTGACATTAAATACCCGCCCTACCGGGTACCCATCTGTCCTGGTCCTAAGTACATTGTATTGTGTTGTTGTAATAATGGTCGCAGTGACCTACATCCCAGAAGAATAGTTTGTGATTCTGGAGCATATCACGTAAAAAAAATACCACGTATTTGTTTAAAAATGAAGGCAATTTGTTATTTACACTTCCGGGCAAAAGAACATATGCTCTTCAAAATTGGAGTAGACAAAATATATACACCTTATCACGACGTTTCTTTCAGTCTCTGGAATGTTTAATGCATTTTCCTTGGCAGTTAATTTGAAAATGCCCGAGATTGTATTCCGATTGTTAATTACGATTGTTCGCAAATATAAAACAAATCAGTCGTAAAACAGAAGTTGTCTGAAAGAAGGTGTTGACATTGTCGGACCAGGCACTGTCGGAATACTTTGTTTTTTGTTATGTTTGATGTTACTAGAGGGATGGGTTGTCTCCCCTGGGATGTGTACTGTAACGCGAGGTATCTCCCCTGTATTGTTGTTATTGAAGATGAGCTATCTCCCTTGAATGGCGCATTGTTGTACCTGAAGGGGCGGGTTTTCTCCCCTGAATTGTGTAATGTTGTCACTAGAGGGATGAGTTATCTCCCCTGAGTGGTGTAATATGGAAATCCCCCACAACTGTTACATGTCCCTGTGTTGAGCCAAACGCGTTTCAACGAAGCCAGTGTGTGAAAAATCATGGCACGTAATCGAGCCACACGGTCGAAAACCATGCCACTATAATGTCGAAACAAGATCACATAAATGTAATGACGTCATAATGGCGTTTTGAAAGTATTCCCGCGCTATATCGAATCACCTTGTAAGGTAATTGCATGATATCACGCCCCTGCTCACAGTGTGTTGATGTGGAAAGGTACGTCACGTGACACCTGTTATTGCGAATCATGCATATTTATGTAATCATGACTACCAGGTATTATTATTATAATTATTATTATATCTATTTGTGCTTGGACCTTTTACTGTTGTTGACGAATCCATGCAACGATATTTGGTTTTGGGGACTGTTTGCAGTTTTTCCAATGTCCTGCCTTAACAAGACGTTCTATACTTCCTTGTACGTTTTTGCGCTTATGTCATGTAAATACTAATAGTGCGCTAATTTCCAAATTAGATTTTCTCTTATATCTTCTGTTTTGCCCTACCGACGTTATTTACATTTTAAAACTTGCTTTCTTTATATTGTTCACCCAAATATTCCTTTTCATCTCAGGCGACGTGGTAGTCTAGTGGTTCAGGTGTCGCCCGTCACGCTTAACACCAGGTTCGATTCCCGAAATGGTAAAAACTGTGTATCACGATTTCAGTGTCGTTAGACGTGATATTGATTGAATATTGCCAAAAGCAGCAAAAAAACATATTAACTTTGCTTGGACCAATTTATCTCGATTTAGTCACGAGTCAGATAGAATCCCACAAATTGGCACATGTGTATTTAATCTCTACGTTGTGTGACATCGTCACGCAAGAGCTGCATTTGTTCAGCGGAGTGTGAGGTAGCCTAATGGTTAAAGCGTCAGTCGGCACGCTGAAGACCCATGTTCGGATGCCCACATGGGTACAATATGTTAAGTCCATTTCTGGTGTCCCCTGCCGTGACAATGCTAAAAGCGGCGTAAAACCATACTCACTCACTCCTGCTTTAAGTTTCGAGTTCATGAATGCAAGAAAACCGCTTTTACAAATCAGACAAAACATTGGGTATAACACCAACATATGCATGAGATGCATTGTGTTAATGTATGCACGTCATGCATTATCTAAGCTTTATTTGGGGATGTTGATATACACTTTAAAGCATGATGCATTATCCAAGCTTTATCTGAGGATGTTGATATACACTTTAAAACATGATGCATTATCCAAGCTTTATCTGAGGATGTGATGATTATACACTTATAAAGCATGATGCATTATCCAAGCTTTATCTGAGGATGTTGACATACACTTTAAAGCATGATGCATTATCCAAGCTTTATCTGAGGATGTTGACATACACTTTAGAGCATGATGCATTTTCTAAGCTTTATCTGAGGATGTTGATATACACTTTAATGCACAGCAGGACACAACTGATCTCTTTGGTTGTAAATGTTATATATTCACATGTGTACAGATATATTTGTTCTCAAAACTTAATGTACATAGCTATTTATACTTGACACGAACCCTTCACGTTACAGCGACGTACAGTGTCGCTTATATCACCTGCTTTTATGTGTATTTCATTTATTATTTGATCACGTGATTTGTCACAATGCATAATTCATTTATAAATCGCGTTTGAACTGCTGTGTACTTTTAAGTCATTTTCTTCTTCTTTTATTATATATCAATGTTGTATATTATTTCGTTACAGTGAAATGATATATAGATCACCAACGTGTTATATGTCAACAGCTGCTCGGGGTTATTGAAATGAAACTTGTGAATTCGATAAAATGTTGTGCTCGTAATGTAAAGGGTTGGGCAATTGAAAGGATACCATGAAAACTGAATTTAATCAAACAGTTACATCCGCTATTGAAAAGTTACCATGCAGAAGTTAGTGGCCTAACATTGCAAATTTTATATCCAAAATACAGGTGTGATATACCTACCAAATTCGTCAGATTGTGTTACTTTGTACCCACATCAAACAATAGTGTGTATTCTCTTTTGTCCGGTAGTGTATAACAAATAGATATGGGCCTAGAAAACAACCTGGCGGTGTACTTGTTCTGAAATAGTCATCTAAACATACATGTATTTGTATAGTTTGTCTGGTGTCCCCCGCCGTGATTTTGCTGGAATATTGCTAAAAGCGGCGTAAAACCAAACTCAGTCAGTCAGTTGTACAGTTTGGTACAGTACAGCCATCTAGGTATGGTCAAGGTGTCGTTATGTCGTAATTTCATGGAAGGGTGACCTGCTATGGGAAATATCCAGAAGTGATGCAGATTTTAGCCTTCGTGAAACCAAGACAATAGGCATGGTGCAGAGAAACCAATACAAATTAGTCTGGGTTCGAACCCGTACCGTGACATGCCGGTGGTTCATGAGATGGTTCACCAAGTGGCCCTGTTGTGTGGTTAGAAGATATGTTTACATTATCACATCTTGGTATTATTGAAAATTATTCTTGTCCGTTCACTTCAAACATATCATGGACGTCAAATATATTTGACATCATCAAAATGCTCTTGATTTCTGTGATATCGTCAGGCCTACCAAAGACTCACCATTCAAAATTCATCGTTTTCATTCAAACCCGCCACATTATCGATGGAACCATGGGGTAAGCTTGTGGTTGAAGCTTTCGTTCGTCACAGCGAAGGCCTTGGTTCCATTCCCCACATGGGTACAACATGTGAAGCCCATTCCTGGTGTTCCCCGCCGTGATATTGCTGGCTTATTGCTAAAAGCGGCTTAAATATTAAACTCACTCGATGGAATCAAAACAGTGAATGACACCCGCAGCAACACATTGGCAGGTATTCAGATTGTTGCAATGTCTTCTGTAAATGTGGCGTGTTTCAATCATTCCGATGTCCCCCGCCGTGATATTGCTGGCTTATTGCTAAAAGCGGCGTAAATATTAAACTCACTCGATGGAACCAAAACAGTGAATGACACCCGCAGCAACACATTGGCAGGTATTCAGATTGTTGCCATGTCTTCTGTAAATGTGGCATGTTTCAATCATTCCGATGCACACTTAATGGTGATAGTCTCACGGGTGTAGTTTGTGTGGCTATTTCTATTTCAAGTATGTACATACTATAGCTTGGTTGCTATCTGCTGGCTTTCGTTGGTAGGCCTGATTGCACATATACAGTCAAACACGGTTGTGTCGAACTCGTCTTGTGTCGAACTCATCTTGTGTCGAACTCTTCTTCTGTCGAACTCTTATTTTGTCGAACTCTTATTGTGTTGAACTCTAGGTGTCAAACTCTAAAGGTTTTGAGCTCTATTGTGTCGAACTGTTATTGTGTCGAACTTATGGTGTCTCGAAGTAAAGCTTTGTCTCTGCTTATTATTTACTTAGTCATCATTTGGTGCTTGTGTCGCACAGTGGTATACTCGAAGCATTTATGTAGGTCCCTTCAACTTCGACACAACGGTGTTCTACTGTACTCACGTTCCTGGGGTTGTCGAACTATCTACCGCAAACCTTACGACTGACCAGATTTACAATGTGAACTTGTGTGTTTTTAAGCAGATATTTCAACAAGTATACAATGTACCTCTTTCAGACATTAGAGAATCTAGCGGTTGGCTGGCAACATAACTTTCGTAACATAGCAACAGTGAGTTAACGACAAGTTAACAGTTAACAGTATGTTTATTTACGTACGATACGAGGTGACGTGATTTCCTGATAAATCCAAAATGAAACCAGACTCACGTGTTTTTCGTTATTGTATATTTCTGTTGACATAGAAGTGGGATGTGAGAGGAACGATGTGTGTGTTGTGTGTGTGTGTGTGAGTGTGAGGTTGTAATTTGTGTTGTGTGAGTGCGAGATGGTAATCTGTGGTTTGTGTGTTAGTGCGAGGTGGTAATGTGTGTTGTGTGTGTGTGTGAGTGCGAGGTGGTAATCTGTGGTTTGTGTGTGAGTGCGAGGTGGTATTGTGTATTGTGTGTGGGTGAGTGCGAGGTGGTAATCTGTGGTTTGTGTGTGAGTGCGAGGTGGTAATATGTGGTTTGTGTGACTGCGAGGTGCTAATGTGTGTTGTGTGAGTGCGAGGTGGTAATCTGTGGTTTTGTGTGTGTGAGTGCGAGGTGGTAATTTGTGTGGTTTGTGTGTGACTGCGAGGTGGTAATGTGTTTTGTGTGTGTGAGTGCGAAGTGTTAATCTGTGGTTTGTGTGTGAGTGCGTGGTGGTAATGTGTGGTTTGTCTGTTAGTGCGAGGTGGTAATGTGTGTGGTTTGTGTGTGAGTGCGAGGTGGTAATATGTGGTTTGTGTGACTGCGAGGTGGTAATGTGTGTTGTGTGAGTGCGAGGTGGTAATCTATAGTTTCTGTGTGTGTGTTAGTGCGAGGTGGTAATTTGTGTGGTTTGTGTGTGACTGCGAGGTGGTAATGTGTGTTGTGTGTGTGTGAGTGCGAAGTGTTAATCTGTGGTTTGTGTGTGAGTGCGTGGTGGTAATGTGTGGTTTGTGTGTTAGTGCGAGGTGGTAATGTGTGTGGTTTGTGTGTGAGTGCGAGGTGGTAATATGTGTGAGAGCGAGGTAATGTGCGGTTTGTGTGTGAGAGCGAGGTGTCAATGTGTGTGTTTTGTGTGTGTGAGCAAGGTGTCAATGTGTGTATTTTGTGTGTGAGAGCGAGGTTTGTGTGTATGTGTCTGAGTGGTTGTTTTTAATGTATGTTGCGCGTATGATGTTTCTCTGGTTGGGTAGATTGTTGTTTAACGCCGCACTCGAGCTTTATATCGGCGGTCTGTAAATAATCGAGTCTGGACCAGACAATCCAGTGATCAACAGCATGAACATCGATCTACGCATTTGGGATACGATGACATGTGTCAACCAAAATCTTTTCCCACACTAAAATGATTGGAAGGAAGTCACTGAAGCGCACTTAATATGAATATATATAATAACACTGCAATCACATCGCCCCCATTGGATTGGTTGATGTCTTGTTAAA